ATATAATAGCGTACCTTTATGTTATTGACGTGTGAATTTCTCGACTATATTTATTTTCAAGATACGAAAAAGTGCTTGTTTGAATGCTTCACTTAAACCAAGAATTACGAAGCCTTGAAGCTTATTGGCCGATTAGAAAGTACACCTGAATCGACGCTGATGGAGGTGTCCTCGGATCTTGTTGCAGAGAGGTATCGTAATGGAGTGAAAGATCCGATCTTAATGAGACTTGAATAACAGAACCTAGGTAAAGAGAACTATCAACAATATGTACTGCTTGCATGAACACTTATTATCACTACACTGTAGCTACGTATGCCTCATTTGAACCACAGAGCCTGACGTGCCCCAAAACAGAAATAACATCTGGTTAAATTTGGAATAAATTTGAAAAGGACTTGATGCAGCAACTATTTGTGGCAACCAACACACAGTGAGAGAGGTTGGTGATGACATACAGAGTTGTCTCCCTTGGGTTGTCTTGCTTGCACAAAATGGGTTCTATTGGTCAGTAAAGTCATGGACTCGAAATTATTTGGCTGAATTTCAGTGCCATGCAAGAACGGCAATGTCTCTCAATGATGTTGGAAGTCTCAGATCACTGGATCTTGGCCCACACTAAATAGTGCCATTCCTGTGTCCAATACGATTTCAAATGTAAATTGAAGAAATAAAATACGTGTGGGATAATTGAAATCTAATTTTAATTATTTCTCATCATTCAGATATTCTCTGGGGGTTTTTAACTTACATTTGTGGCTACAAAAAGTTTTGCGATTCACACGTCTTGAAACAGTGAATATCCGGTTTACATTTTTAGAAAATCTGGGCTTCTGCTGACTATGTTAGAAGCAATAACACAACATTATACCACAATGTCATGCTTTCATACCTTTCAAGCAGTACACATGCAATACTTAAAGAAATGATTTTTGTACATATTTACAAGCGTATTTGTGTAAGAATGTGGAGGATGCTTGTGCAAGATGTAAAGTGATGTACACATGAGAGAGTGACAGATCAGAGAGTCCAAGAGAGAGAGATGAGAGTATCTGTCGTGTTAGCATCATGAGTCTATCAAAAAAAAAAAAATACAATAAAATAAGAAATATATTCATCCCTTCAAAACACACATTTGCACATATATGAAGATACTATATTCTTGTGAACACATTTGCACCTATATGCAGATATATTCTGTGAACACATTTTGTTGATTACTGAGATGTTGAGGAACAATATCATGGTCAGCAAGTATGGCCAAATATATTGCACATATATACATATGGAATAATAATGACCAATATTTCTTCATGCATGTTTACATTGGAAAGAAATGACAGGTTGACAGTTATTGCTTCTGGTCTAAATGCCCACAGCATCTTCAACTCTGCATTGACATCACCTGTCAACATCATCCAGTCAATCTGAACAAGGGGGATAACTCCATCACACGGCAACAAAACACTACCACGTGCCATGGTGCAGTCTACACCAAGCATCAATACAGGTATCGATACTTCCCATACATTTCAGTGCCTATCACTCCAAAATTAAATATATTAACGCTACCATTTATTATTCACAATTATTTTTTATTAGAAAAATAATTTACAAATGAAATATTTTTGAATAGCAGGAGATAAATAATACTCTTTGTGTCAGTTTTTCATACCCTGAAGAACTGCAGTAAGTTTAAAGCATTGACATTGTCTTCAAGTTAACTGACAGGAGCTGAGTCAGCTTTAATTTGAAGTTAAAGGTCAGTGAACTGGTGTATTTTTCTACAAATCGTTGTTTAACTGTAATCATCTGTTCAATGTGGACAAAGTATGTCTACTGTAAACAGTGCACCAGCTGAAGATGATGTAATCTCTTGGTCTACAAGCTGACAATAGACAAAATAAGACAATGTGCAGCTTTGAATGAAAGGTATTGAGTTCCCTTCCTTTATCATATGTTAGAGGTTACTTTGATTAGCGGAATTTGTTAAAAAATTGATGGAAGCAAAACAGACTGAACTTATTTACCATCGACCAGGAGTATGGAACTTTAAATATCAGATTCGTAAACCAAGTTATAAGATAAAATACACTAGACAGTTCCGATGAAATGTTTGTCAGGTACTTGAGTACTACCAGTTGCAGGTAGATACATTACTCCTCAAGTGATATGTCAAAGTAGTCCTTGCAGAGATCTATCAGGATAATTGGTGTTATTCAAATGGTCAACTTAGAGTTTAAATAAATGCACTTTTTGTGAACATGCTTGATCAAATGCCTACCTGTCATTATCGTTCACAATTTAAATCAATTCTTTAGTGTTAGGCTTAAAAAATTAATTCTCCAATATTTCATGAATTGTTATGTAATAGCAGATTTATCACAATGCATATTTTCTTTTTGTCTTTCATCTGTTTAGAAGTTTTTATTTACAAGTCCTTTTTGTACATAGTAATTTGATTTAGCACTGTAAAATAGATCACATTTTCTTTCAACAATGAATCAACAACATTCCTCAAAACACCAGGCCAAATACATCTAAAACCTTTATATACCTAGGGCTGTAACTCTTCACTAGCATCACAGAACATCGGGTACTGTCACCATGACTACCAGCTTAATTAACATGCAGGGCTCGATGTAAGGAACTTGATTTAACTTGCACCAGGTGCATGTTGACATGAAAATTACTTGTTGCACCAGGTTGCACCCTGCTCTCAAAAATGTATCAAAGTTGCAACAGATGCATAAACTAGTCTAAATAAGTAAAATCTGCAATCTTTGAAGACTGTCGTGTGTAATGAATCACACATAACACAGAACGTAGCGATGTCGTACTGTACACAAAGCTTCGGGTATTGAATGTGTTCAAAGATCGATGCTGGGTGGACAAGTAAGGGTTAGTCAGGCAAAAAATAAATAAAATTAAAATAAATATTAGGTTGCTTTTTCAAAAACAGGTTGCACTGGTGCATGTTTTATAAAGCTAAGTCGAGTCCTGACAGGGTACAGCCCCTGACAGTTAAACTGACTCATGTTTTACCATTACACATATACCATATTCGACGTAATAAGCGCCCAGGGCGCTCTCAAAATTAGAAATAGGGGGCTCTTATTAGAATATTATTTTGGTGAAAAAAAAACAGAGTTGAAAGACCGTAAACTTCATGGTTTATGCTGACAGCCTGAAATGTTTTTTAAGACAGATATATTTTTCCAGAATTTAATTGCCCATAATTAAGAGAAATATAACACACGAGTGCGTACTATACACGAATAAATAAGTCGTGTGTACATTGATCAATCGGAAGGGGTGCTAATTGGGATTGTTCACTAGCCAATATATTAGCAAATATCGCTGTGGGCGCTTATTAGAGCGGGGAGCTTATTACGTCGAATACGGTACACACACAGTGTTCGAGATTACACATGAAAGTCAAGGGGTCCCTGTCATAACACTCAGTCAAACAGTTACAGATGTTGGCAATCCCTGGAGCCCCTTGACTTCGAACACTGAACACATACACCTGGAAAAAAAATAAGCACCACCACTTCCATATTTTCATATATCCCTAACCTCCATGTAAACCTCAGGAAACATCTACATCTGCCATTGATCTTGTATCGGTACATGTCAAGCAAGGGTATAATGATCTATACCGAAACGTCGCCTTTACAGCAAATAAAGAAGTTGTTATCCATAAATTGTGTCTTCTTTGTGGTACAAGAACACTGGACGTTGTGCCAGATGGTGACATGAATTATTTAGTGTTTCCATTTACCAGTAATTAACTAGTTAAATAGGCCATGTAATGGTAAAATAAAGTGCTTGTGCAGTAAATCAGCAAATTTTTAACTGAACGAAAAACTGAGACGACATTATATCATATGATACAAAGTAGCAGAGAAAGAAAATACAAGTTTAGTCAAATAACTATTGCCACAGAACTGTTACAAACCATATCCTTTGATAATTGACTTTGGTTTCTCTAATCCAAAATGAGTGTCACTTTGTAAACAAACAATGTATTCTGTTAATCAGGGTTAGAAACTAACAGTTTTTGTTCACTAGTCCTTATAATGATAACATATAGCAAACCTCTTAAAATGGGCCAATTTCTACTAGTCCTTAGGATACCTTTACTATTGGGCAGTTTGGTAAGGACTACAGGACTAGTGCCAATTTCTAACACTGTTAATTAATACCGGATACGATTATAATAAAAACGGCTACTTCTTATAGAAAAATATAGTAAAGGGTGCTTAGTTTTTTCCCAGTTGTATCATGTGTATAGAAATAAAAACATATAAACATTTAACTGATGTTAACAAGTACAGGCACGGATGTTTCTTGTATTGACATGTAGATCATGGCCCTACATTGAACATAAACGTCATCTTGAAACAGTGCCTTGTCCCAGCCCTACAAACAAATGTCTTTCATTTCCAGGGTTCCTGGTTCAGTCAGCAGGTTTTCATTTTACAAAATTTGTTGTCACAAGAAGGAGAGCAATCAGTACCCTATCTGACACACAACTACAAGAAGGATTTCAAATTTGATACTCGAGTGACCTGTTCCCGACACTGATATCGCTTGCACTGAACAGGAAGGTGACCCAACCAGAGCTCCAGATAAGCTGCGTATCCGCGTAAAATACGCATCAGAAATGCAGAAATACGCAGTAAAATATAATCCAAGCGTGTCAAATACGCAACGAACATTACAGATACACTAAAAAAATAAAACTTGTGTGTATCATCAAAATACTGTGAAGTAACCCTGCGTATTTGATTAGCAAATCAGCAACTTATTTTGAAATTATAAATGGGCATTCCGTCAACCTTGCCAAACTCCACGATGACAGTTACATCATGATCATTTGCCATCACACTTTCTTGTGGAAGTATCGTGGTATTTTTGAGCCCTATAAAGCTCTCGAACCCACACGACACCAGTTTGCAGGGACTAGATGAATAGTGTTTTTAAATATTTAACTTAAATACCCACATGTGTAAAAACTAGTAGGTAACAGAAATTTGAATACCAAGATAGAATTACTGATACCCAATGATTTAAAAAAGGCATGGGTAAAATACCCACAACACCAAAAGCTTATCTTGAGCTCAGCCAACTATGTCATCCATTGGCTGTGTTGTGGGCTTTTGTTGCAGACTCTTCACATCAGTAGAAAAAAGAAAGCCTTACAGACATACTCTACAGTTTCTCACGAGAAGAGCTCTAATTTGAAATCCTATTATGTAGTGTAAAATCTTAACATACAACATCATAACATACATTTCAAACAAAGACTTGATCGCAATCTCAGTTCTTATATATTTTTTTTCTATTTGCAAAATGACCACCTGAAAACTTATCTGTCCTTAATCTTCTCCTCAAAGGCCATAAAATAATTGGGCTCTTTCTTCAACAATACAATAACAGTCTCTTAATTTCCAACTTTTGCCTGAATACTACGATACCATTCTTCTGAAAGGCTAGATATTTGTTCAATGCTGAAACACCTACAGGTGACGGTACCGAATCCAAGGTTGTCTATAAATACTTTGATGGATGGAATTTACATTAGCAACGAAGTACCCAATCAGTGGCTTGCTTCTTCCCTGAGTGGCAGTGGATTACCATGACGACTGGCCACCTTGACAACAGGTCACCATCCCGCGGGATCTTGGAGGCATCTCTGCAGCAGAAACTCAGCTGTCACTGCCAACGTGTTCCTCGAATCCCTCGCTTTCCGTGACGAGAGCACGTTCCAGAATGACACGCCCTTCCTTGTATCTCTGGTTCTCCTCGGTGGCGAACTCGTAGATCCACCCGAGCTTGGCGTCACAGTTTTTGCACGAAACATCTCGGACCATGTGGCGCCCTGTCAGCATGACACGATCCTGCACTTCACTGTAGTTGAGGTTCACGACTCTGTTGAACAGGAAAGCTCTTCCAGTGGCTCCTGAAGTGAAATTGAGAGAGGGTGGGGTCAGAATATGATAGTCTGAATATGAATATGTGAGTTTTGTGTAAGCTGCCAATGTTAAATGTAATTGGGTATCTAAAATTAAGCTGTATAAGGTGGGTTTGGGGTATATTTGGGAGAGTCAGGATGCCGATTTATCGGTTTAACTGTTTATTTCTGAATTTGTAACACGTTTGGAATAGGCTTATGAACAAGACTGGCCTTCAGCAATTGTTGGTAGCTCAAAGATGCAGCATCATTCTATTTTAAAATCAACCTTCTCTGTAAAATATTTTTTATCAGTGTAAAATTTGATGAAGTTCCATCGACAATGGCTCGCTTCAGCTGCTGTTCACATTCTTTAAATATGGAAACAGATAGATACAATAATAGTCCCAGAGGTTTTGTAAGACATGTAACATGGGCTATGTGGAGGACGAATATCTCTTCTTAATTTGTAACGCATAGGGTAACCTTCCCCAGCAGTATATTCAAGAATAGTTTCATGTCCATCCACATTATCTAGGTTTAATATTATGATGTCAATCTGAAAAAAATCTTTAATTAGAAATACAGGCATGTTTGTACATCACTAAATGGATTGCCGTTTCGTCATACGGTCTTCTCATAACTCCCATACTTTAACAATGGTTTACAATTGTCATAGCGCTAAGATCGCTTTATGGAACGGTGACCTGAAATACAGAACATGGTGTTTCACCCTAAACAAAGCAGGAATGATGCTAAGTATGAAGCAGGTCAATAATGTTTTCGACTTGGGTGAAGTCTTAACATGGGAATCATGGTGACAATGTTAAGGCTCATAATCAGGTGTTGAGGTGAGGTGAGGTGAAATGGGGTTTAACATCGCGTCCAAGATTATTGCACTTATATAGCGACGTGCATGTACGTGTGTGTGTTTGTGTGGCTGCTTGTACCAGTCCAGACTGATGCCGATTTATAGTGCTAGCTCACTGAGATACCATGCCGCAGTTTTTAACATGAATACCTCAAGCAGACACAGTATACTGACTCCGAGCCGACCAGTCCTTGTTTTAGCCCCTTTATGCCGAGTGCCAGATAGGGTAACAACAAGTACATTCTTTTAACGTCTTTTGGTATGACGCAGCCCGGGATCGAACCCCGGACCTTCCACTCTCCGGGCGGTTGCTCTACCACTAGACAACGGAGGCAGTCTCAGGGGTTGAAAATATATGACAAATGTTACTTGACCAAGGGCAAGTATGACCAACATTCTTACTTGCCCAGTTTTAAAATGTACTTGCCCCAAATCACAGTATTAAATTCAGCAAAATGTTACAACTACAGAACTGAGAATCAGATATACCCAAAGATAGCATTGTAGCGAGGGATCACTGCAGTGTTCCCTTGCTATTGTGCCACTCAATAAAGCCCTAACTCGGTTATAGCGCGCAGTAACGCATGGATCCCAAATTTACTTTCATATTTAACTCAAGTTTTACACTGACACGATGTTTCCCCCCCTCACAAAATAACCTATCAGCTGATCACCGCAAGCACATAACACCGGAAATACCAGTCAACAAATCCGAACTGAACTACGCAATTTAATCCTGTGTTTATACTATCTGGATATAAAAATGTGTTCATTGAATATCTAGACCTATAATTGTAATATAGTTTATTTATTTTATTAAAAATGTCATTCAATGTTTGTTCAGATTAATTTTGGCGAAATTGTGTGAAGTGATCGGTAGATCACACAACTTACTGTTATTTACAGCAACCACAGTCAAATTATCGCTACTGACACCTTGAAACAAACTTTAGTTGACAAGGAATGGATACATATATCATAAAATACCATACTTTAACTGATTAAAAGTCATATTGGTTGTAGTTTGACTTGTGTGTCAACAAAGTTTCATGTTCGAGAGTGTGTGAGCCTCGACGGTGACTGGTGTATTCAAATAAAATATTTCATCAAAGCTAGGCCTAACGAAGCTTCAAAAGTTGGCACTAGACCTACCTCACATTACAAATTTCAAGAAATGTAGTCAACTGTCCGTTGTTCCATTTCAACGAAGCATGTGCCTCATGTAGAAGTGTTACTAGGAATAAAACATGCCTGGTTAACATTGATGATCTTCCTGACATCAAAGTGTATTAATCCCATTGGTTGACTTGTGTAACTGTATGCAAATAAGATTGCCAGTCTGGGACACTAGCAGAATATTAGCCAATGAAATACTTTAACATGATCACATGATTACATTCTCGTGAAAACTTGACCCAGTTCATTTTGTTTGCTGGACTTGTCCACGGGCATGCTAGAAAACGTATATTACACTCCTGATGTCTAACGTTTTTTAACCCCTGATAATCAGGGCACAGCTAAGGGATGCAACTCTGCACAATGAACCACATATGCACAGAGTTCTCAAAGAACTATTTGAATTACCATATTCAACGTAATAAGCGCACCCCTCTAATAAGCGCCAACGGCGATATTTGCTAATATATTGGCTAGTGAACAATCCCAATCAGCACCCCTTCCGATTGATCAATGTACACAAGACTTATTTATTCGTGTATAATACGCACTTGTGTGTTATATGCATTCTTAATTATGGGCAATTAAATTCTGGAAAAATATATCTGTCGTACGTCAACATGTCAGCATAAACCACAAAATTTACGATCTTTCAGCTCTGTTTTTTTCACCAAAATAATATTCTAATAAGAGCCCCCTATTTCTAATTTTGAGAGCGCCCTGGGCGCCTATTACGTCGAATACGGTAACTGCAATATATGATTACAGTATTATGGTTGGGGCTCTGTTCATTCCCTTTAAGGATGAAATATATTTTCTTAACATGACAGATGTTGTGTGTTTTAGTAACCATAGAAAATTGCCATATGAAAACAGGTATAAATGAAATAAGGTATCACAAATCTTCCATGACATATTTCATGACAGAATTATTTGCATCTCAACAACAAATACAATGAAAACCATATACTTGTCAAGATTAATGCTCCAAATTATAATCAACTTCAAAAACATACACATTAATATTTCATAATGATGTCTATGTTTGTGGGTTCAAATGTCTTGGCAAACTAGCTGAATTTTCATCAACTGTCACATTCTATTTTTCATATTACATTTTGGAGTGTTGAAAATAAATATTTAAGAGTTATTTTGAATTTGTGCGATCTCTGAATCATGCCTCCACACAAGTGTGTTGAACATACGGACATCAGACGAAGATCAAGATGGCAAACGGAGTTCAATATGCATGGCACCCAGCGGAGGCTGGTTGATCAAAATGATGCAATGTTTGCATGCTAATTGGAGCCAGATGTCTTGCCAGAATCATTTGGCTGTTCCTGTTTGTTTTATCAAGATCACGCAAAATTATAGCTTTTGGTTACATCCATCAAGAGTGGGTTTCACAAATGACAGGATTCAAACTTGGATCTATTCCCCAACAAACCAACACAGTAACCACTGAACTACATCATCAGATGCTGGTTTATCCTCTCTTTTTAACTAATGAACCAGAAGATACTGGAACAGGGATGCTTGACTCTTGGTAAGGGGTGTCAAGATTGGTCCAACCACAGATGCATTGGATTTATTCATGACCAGAGGACAATAATTGATGATAAGTTATAAATATCAGCACCACACTATCCACAGTACTGATAGACACAGAGCTCCAGATAACTTTTGAGCAATTGAGTTTTTACTCTAAGGTTTCTATTTTAATTGGCTTATTACATTTTTCATTGGGTGACCAACATTTTTTCACTCATCTATTCATCACTGTATTGGGTTTTTGCCAAAATTAGTGAACATTTTAAGATTTTAAAAACAATGAAATAATGTTTTAAATGCACATAACTGTTCTTAATATATAGGTGTGGCTTGGAAAGTAAATTAGCTCATAATTGTGTTTCGGAAATTGTCTCCTTTGGGTATTCATATACATTTGAGTTTTTTATTTATGTGTTTCTGTACTCAAGTTAATTGAAAGGAATTGGCTTTTGAATATTTGGTGTGTGTGTGTGTGTGTGTGTGTGTGTGTGTGTGTGTGTGTGTGTGTGTGTGTGTGTGTGTGTGTGTGTGTGTGTTTTACGCAAATACGCTGCTTATCCGTAGCTCTGTAGACATAATGAAATAGTATTAATAGACCTTCTTGAACAACCACATGGGCTCCAGTTCAAAATGCTGATAAAATAATATCAGGCAATAATAAGAGGAGGTACCTCTGCTAAAATAACAACTTTCCAAGCACTCTGTTGTTGAATCTAGGACTTGGTGAATGTGTTCAGCTTTGTTATGGGAAATGAAAGAAAATCTACACTGTAGGTGGTAGAGGTATTAGTAAACTTTCACAATACCATTGCAACAGTCGTACAATTACTGCACAAGTGTGTTTAACTATCACAATACTACTGCGATGGCAAAAACGTCCTTGATGGTCATTCTTGTGGGTGGTCATCTGGGTCAATGGGTCCCCCCCCCCCCCATCCCCCATATTTCTCTGACAGAGGAATCCTGAGGGTCTAGAAGCAACATGGACACAAGGACATTTAGGGTCAGGAATATGAATCATGTTTGTTTGTTTGTTTGTTGTTTAATGCCCATTCAGCAATATTCCAGCTACATGACTACAGTCTGTAAATAATAGAGTCTGAACCAGACAATCCAGTGATTGATATCATGTCATCGATCCATGCAAACTGGGTCAGTGATAAGACTGACAACCTGATCCTGTAGTTGCCACTTACCAGTGTCTGAAATAACTGCCAGCCCACCTGCCCGTGGCTAGTAACTTTTCTGTCGGGCTGCATGAAATTTTCCTCCACCTGCCCGACTGTCTGGCAGATAATTTTAAGACTACTTACGTATTCAAGTTTATGTAGATTCTCAAGTAATTGTTATCATTATTTCAACTGAATCAAGACATGATTTGTCTCTTAGTTGTTGCCACTTTTCAATATTTATAATGTCTGAAAGCAGGCAGGTAACTTTGAAGATAGGGAGGCAACACTTATGGGTCACCAGCCTGACTGTCTTGTTGGGTCTTAAAGTTATTTCGAACACTGCCTCTTACAACAGGCATAGTCGCCTTTTACGGCAAGCATGGTCTGCTGTTTAACCATTCCCTACTTGTATCTTCATGAGTTCATGAACATGTCACTGAATTATTACTCACTGGCTCTTCATTTATTGATGGGCCAACAATTCATGGTATGAACTCTGTGAATCAAGTATCAATGTACATTGGTCAGGGCCAACAAGCTTTAGGATTGAACTCTGTGAAGAAGTATCCCTGCACTGGTGCTGGTATGTATAAAATTATCAACATTCTGGCTAGTGAGCCTACCTGACCATCACATATAAGATGGAAACAAAACAATCATTTAGTCACATGTCTATAACCATATTTGATTCTTATGAATGAACAACAAGGAGCCCTTGTCATAACCCCAAGATTAATTAAATAGGGGTCCCCTGACCAAAATACCAGACCAGGGTGTTGCATAACACAGAAATGAGTGTCCAGAAGGCACAATTGTACAGAATAGATTAGCAAAACAACAATGTGGCATCATGAGGGACACACGATAATATTCATTGTACCCAATTTTTTAAATGAAAACAAAGGCCTTGTAATTAAAGTAATTATCAAATCTTACAGAACACACTACACCATTTCATTACTTTGACCCTCATATTTCCTGTAGGAACATGAAAATAATTACTGGGCGTCCTCTGGACCCCTAGTTTTGTAGGTCTTGGAAAAAACCTTGATTACAGTAGAAATTCACAAGGACCCTGAACATCATAAGTGGGGATCGGGGTAGATTAGGTCTTCAGCAACCCATGCTTTCCGTAAAAGTCGACTATGCTTGGTGTAAGAGGCGACTAACGGGATTGGGTGGTCATACTCGCTGACTTGGTTGATGCATGTCATGGTATCCCAATTGCGCGGATTGATACTCATGATGTCAATCACCGGATTGTCTGGTCCAGACCGTCGTCATATTACTGGAATAATGCTGAGTGCTGCGTTAGACAACAAACAAACAAGCATGAACCATGGATTAATTTCAAATTTCAAGATAAATATGAGAAAATTGCTTGCTCAGGTGGATGTCAGGTGAACATAAAGTAAGACTACTAATGTTTTACCTGTAAACCTTGTAGAGATGAGCTCTGCTCTGTTGGTGAGGGGGGTCTCACAACTGGCACATGAGAAGAGGCGAGTCCCTCCAATGTGGTTAAGAAATATACGACCCATTCTGCCAAAAGACAGAAAAAAAGACATTGAAATCTAATACAGAAAAAACACAGTCTTACATATGACATATGACAACCATTAGTACATTGTTTTAACAATCGATTTCACTTCCTGAAATATAATACACATTACATCCACTTGACTGCAAATATTAATGGAATGTGTGATACGAACAGATGCTATATTCAGCAAAACAAGCGTAAGTATGTGCCAATAATGGTATTTCCAATTTCAATAGGCCCCCAGGCAAGTTCGCATAGGACACCGCCCCTATATATCTGTACACATATATAGCCTCGTTCATGCCCATGTACAACTATGTCTTTCCCATGTCGAATTCTCGTCAGTCTTTGTCCAACTTCGACATGATTTTGGTACACTAGCTGTTTTCAAACCCTGACAATTCTTCCTCGACAATCATTGCTCATTGTCTGTTTCCTTTCAAACGATCTAGGATGTAGAAAACGCATCAAATTATCCTTACATTATCATTTACATCGCCTTGCCGTCGCCAGCTGGTTGTGAAGAAAATATACACATCACGTGACCGATCTATTTATAGACTCAAAATGGCAACAAATCCGAAATAAATGTCTTGTTTATTACTTGTCACGAATCCAACAAATCAATGGTTTTTCTAACCTGACATTGCATAACAATGTATTGGGAGAAAATATAAAACATGCAAACTGAAAAACATCGTCCTTCTGATGAATAAACAAATGATGTCAGCGCGGTGTTCGTCTGACGATAAAAAAATATTTTCCTGGTTCTTTCATTATCGTCCGCTTCAACTCACCATAGGCGAATGACGTCAGTCAAATCCTCACAAATCCGCAAAATGATACGCATAGATTGTTTATGCCGATCACTGTTAGGCGGCTAAATCGTGACTTCGGCCATTAACAAACAACACCGAGTCAGAGCTCCGCACATTTGACAGGCCGACATATTTGCCGTCAGAGTGCACGGCTAATGCGTATCTTTTACATCATATATTAATGTTTATTGGTACCACTGAGGGTCTTACTACATAGGCACGAAGTAATTCATGCATATACTACCTTTCAGCAGCAAAATTGGTCCGATTTTGCTGCAAATTCACCGAGAACGGACAACTTTCAGACGCTGTGTTGATGTTTACCTCTCGCTTAGCAGACAGACCTGAAAACCAAAACATTAGCTGACGTAAGTATCCACGTGGCCTGGCGAGAGGTCGAACGAGAAGGTCAGAGGTCAATTGATATGCACGACTATTGCAACAACAACTTATTTCAATGCACAAAGAAATTAGTGGTCATCTGTTAGATTTCTGTGATGTTTTGGCAAATAGGTATGTTGTCATAACAATTTAACTAATTCATCTAGAACGTACGTCGTCTGTACGTGTAGCTGTAAATTGTTCCGAGGCTATGTGACGTTGAAAAGACGGGTGAGGACTACGGCCTTTTTAGAGAAAAATGCACATTATCATGTAAATATGGGAACGTTCATATTTTATGGCTTAGCGTGGTGCTGAGGATTCCCCCGAAAATCTTAAAATAAAATTAAATGAACCCCCTAAGTATTGTGTACTGTACTGTATTGTAAGAAATCTTGTAAGCCAACGTGTGAGTTTGTTTCTGAATGATCTGGTCAGAGGTAACTAGAATACCCCGCCCCTTCCCTGATTTTAACAATATTGGACATTACATTACACAGCAAATCAAAATCGTACCATCTGACTGTGATGACTCCGATGAAACAGAATCATCTGACTGTAATGATTCTGTTGAAATACAATCATCCGACTGTGATGACGCTGGTGAAACAGAACCATCTGACTGTGATAAATCTGATGAAACATTACCATCTGACTGCTGTGACTGATGAAACATTACCATCTGACTGCTGTGACTGATGAAACATTACCATCTGACTGCTGTGACTGATGAAACACAACCATCTGACTGCTGTGACAGATGAAACACAACCATCTGACTGCTGTGACAGATGAAACACAACCATCTGACTGTGATGATTCTAATGAAACAGAACCATCTGACTACGAAGTATGGTGAAACAGTACAATCTGACTACGAAGTATGGTGAAACAGTACAATCTGACTCTGATGAAACAGAACCATCTGACTGTGATGACTGATGAAACAGAATCATCTGACTGTGATGCCTCTGATGAAACAGTATCATCTAACTAGGATGCCTTTGATGAAACAGAACCATCTGACTGTGATAACTGACGAAACAGAACCATCTGACTGTGAATACTCCGATGAAATAGTAACATCTGACTGTGATGCCTCTGATGAAACAACCATCTGACTGTGATGCCTGGGATGAAACAGAACCATCTGATTGTGATGACTGACGAAACAGAACTATCTGACTGTGATGACTCCGTTGAATTAGTACAATCCGACTGTGATCACTGACGAAACAGTACCATCCGACTGTGATGCCTCTGATGAAACAGTACAATCTGACTGTGATCACTGACGAAACCGAACCATCTGACTGTGATGATTCTGATGAAACAGTACCATCTGACTACGAAGTATGGTGAAACAGTACAATCTGACTGTGATGACTGACGAAACAGTATCATCTGACTATGATGCCTCTGATGAAACAGTACAATCTGTCTGTGATGATTCTGATGAAACAGTACTATCTGACTGTGATGATTCTGATGAAACAGTACAATCTGACTGTGATGATTCTGATGAAAGAGAACTATCTGACTGTGATGAATCCGATGGAACAGTACATCTGTCTGTGATGATTCTGATGAAACTGTACCATCTGACTGTGATGATTCTGATGAAACTGTACCATCTCACCGTGATAACTGTGAAACAGTTCCATCCAAATGTGATGCCTCTGCTGAAACAGTACAATCTGACTGTGATGACTGGTGAAACAGAACCATCTGACTGTGATGATTCTGATGAAAGAGAACTATCTGACTGTGTTGACTCCGATGGAACAGTACAATCTGACTGTGATGACTGGTGAAACAGAACCATCTGACTGTGATGATTCTGATGAAACAGAACCATCTGACTGTGATGACTGATGAAACAGAACCATCTGACTGTGATGACTCCGACGAAATAGTAACATCTGACTGTGATGAGATATTTTATGAGTGAATTAGCAACACATATTCAAGATTAGTGTACAAATGGAATTCAACTACATCCTGACATGACGCAATTATTTTTACTATTATTTGTAGACGATATTATATTATTCTCAAGTAGTATTGGCGGCTTACAGGCACAAATTAACGAATTAGAAAAATACTGTGATGAATGGAAATTAACTGTAAACAAAGATAAAACGAAGCTCGTTGTTTTTAAAAATGGTGGGAAACTTGCTCAAAAGGAAAAATGGTTTTACAAAGGTGAACGCCCAGAAACTACCTCTTTCTACAAGTATTTAGGTGTATACTTTACAAATCATCTTAGTTGGTCTATGCATGCAAAGCAAGCATCGATGCAAGCTCAAAAGGTATTAATTGGTGTGTTAAAACAAATCTTTACTCTTGGAAATATTACTTACAAGTCGTTCTTCAAGATATTGGATTTAAAGATAAGTCCGATATTATTATATGGAGCAGAGATATTGGGACTCAGTAAGCTGGAACAAATAGAAAAAGTACATTTATATGCCTAAGAAATTCCTTGGTGCTAAGGTTAATACACCAAGTGTTATGGTATATGGTGATTGTGGCAGATTTCCAAAGTATATATATACATATTTAAAGGTTATTAAATATTGGTTAAGATTATTGAATATGCCATCTTCTAGGTTCCCGAAAAAATGTTATAATATGATGGTACTCTTTGATAAAAATGGAAAACGAAATTGGGTAACAGACGTAAAAGGCTTGCTGTTTTCTGTTGGTTATGGCTATGTATGGTGTGAACAAAATATACAATGTCATTCTTATTTATTATATTATTATATTCTTATTAGATCATTAACACAAAGACTAAAATATATATATTTACAAAATTGGTCTCAATCCGTATCTGAATCAAACAAATGTATTTATTAAAAAATGGTAAAAAATGATTTATATCCCGAACAGTATTTATCTTGTTTAAATGTAAAAATAATTCCGAGTTTCATTAGCAAGATTTCGATGTTGTTCACCTGATTTATTTATTGAAACTGTACGTTACACGGGTATTAAAAGAGAACGCAATTGTGTGCCCTAAATGACATTGAAGATGAATACCACTTCCTTCTTATATGCCCATTTTATGCAACATTAAGGGCTAAATATATACAGTAAAGTACGTTTATAACGAACACGCTTATAACGAACTGACGGATATAACGAACTGTTTTTTTTGTCCCGACTATTTGCTATAGTTATGTTGTATATATGCTTATAACGAACTACGGTTATAACAAACCAAAGTTAGTCGTCCCTTCGAGTTCGTTATAACCGTAGTTTACTGTACCTGAATATTCTCAAGTCAATCCCAATGAGGCTAAATGTCTTTAAATTCACATCTCTGTTAAACAACTTACTTTTACAAAATGTATCTATGTACATTTATCATGCAATGAGACACAGAAAAAATATTATGTTATAGACTCTACTGCTCTGAATGTACAAATCATAAATGTACTATAGGCCTGTGGCCACAATCAGTACAGAAATAAAGAAATTGATATCCAACTCTGATGAAACAGAACCATCTAACTGTGATGACTCTGACGAAACAGTACAATCTGACTGTGATGACTCTGATGTAACAGAATCATCTGACTGTGATGACTGATGAAACAGAACCATCTGACTGTGATGACTGATGAAACAGAACCATCTAACTGCGATGACTGATGAAACAGAACCATCTAACTGCGATGACTGATGAAACAGAACCATCTGACTGTTATGATTCTGGTGAAACAGAACAATCTGACTGTGATGACTGATGTAACAGATCCATCTGACTGTGATGACTGATGTAACAATACCATCTGACTGTGATGATTCTGATGAAACAGAACCATCTGACTGTGATGATTCTGATGAAACAGTACCACCTGACTGTGATGATTCTGATGAAACAGTACTATCTGACTGTGATGATTCTGATGAAACTGTACCATCTGACTGTGATGATTCTGATGAAACAGAACCATCTAACTGTGATGACTCTGATGAAACAGAATCATCTGACTGTGATGACTCTGATGAAACAGTACCATCTGACTGTGATGACTGATGAAACAGAACCATCTGACTGTGATGACTCTGATGAAACAGAACCATCTAACTGTGATGACTCTGATGAAACAGAATCATCTGACTGTGATGACTCTGATGAAACAGTACCATCTGACTGTGATGATTCTGATGAAAGAGAACTATCTGTTTTTGTTGACTCCGATGGAACAGTACAATCTGTCTGTGATCACTGACGAAACAGAACCATCTGACTGTGATGACTCTGATGAAACAGTACCATCTGACTGTGATGACTGATGAAACAGAACCATCTGACAGTGATGACTCTGATGAAACAGAATCATCTGACTGTGATGACTCTGATGAAACAGAACCATCTGACTGTGATGACTGATGTAACAGATCCATCTTACTGTAATGACTGATGTAACAATACCATCTGACTGTGATGACTCTGATGAAACAGAATCATCTGACTGTGATGACTCTGATGAAACAGAACCATCTAACTTTGATGACTGATGAAACAGAACCATCTAACTGTGATGACTGATGAAACAGAACCATCTAACTGTGATGACTCTGATGAAACAGAACCATCTAACTGTGATGACTCTGATGAAACAGAATCATCTGACTGTGATGACTCTGATGAAACAGTACCATCTGACTGTGATGACTGATGAAACAGAACCATCTGACTGTGATGACTCTGATGAAACAGAATCATCTGACTGTGATGACTCTGATGAAACAGAATCATCTGACTGTGATGACTGATGTAACAGATCCATCTTACTGTAATGACTGATGTAACAATACCATCTGACTGTGATGACTCTGATGAAACAGAATCATCTGACTGTGATGACTCTGATGAAACAGAACCATCTAACTTTGATGACTGATGAAACAGAACCATCTAACTGTGATGACTGATGAAACAGAACCATCTAACTGTGATGACTCTGATGAAACAGAACCATCTAACTGTGATGACTCTGATGAAACAGAATCATCTGACTGTGATGACTCTGATGAAACAGATCCATCTAACTGTGATGACTGATGAAACAGAACCATCAAACTCTGATGACTGTGATGAAACAGAATCATCTGACTGTGATGATTCTGGTGAAACAGTACCATCTGACTGTGATGACTGACGAAACAGAACCATCTGACTGTGATGATTCTGGTGAAACAGTACCATCTGACTGTGATGATTCTGGTGAAACAGAACCATCTGACTGTGATGACTGATGTAACAGATCCATCTGACTGTGATGACTGATGTAACAATACCATCTGTATGTGATGATTCTGATGAAACTGTACCATCTGACTGTGATAACTAATGAAACAGTACAATCTGACTGTGATGACTGACGAAACAGAACCATCCGACTGTGATGCCTCTGGTGAAACAGTACCATCTGACTGTGATGATTCTGATGAAACAGTACCATCTGACTGTGATGATTCTGATGAAACAGTACTATCTGACTGTGATGATTCTGATGAAACAGTACCATCTGACTGTGATGACTGATGAAACAGAACCATCTGACTGTGATGACTCTGATGGGGCCCAGTCGTCTAAGGCGCCGCGATTCGCTGTGCAGAGTTGCGTCCCTTAGGCACGCCAGAAACCTATGATTTTGGGTTCGAATCCCGGTTCGCCCCGATTATGTTTCTAGGTTTGTCAGCACCATACCCGTGCTCGTGGGTTTTACCGAAGTGGTAAACGTCTGAGACCTGCATCACTTCGGGCTTTCCTCCCACACTAAGCTGACACGCCGTGATATGACTGGAATACTGTTAAAAGCGGCGTTAAACCCACTCACTCACTCACTATTGTTGTAAATCAACCGATGATTTCCTTTATAAAGTTATGGGTGGACTTGGGACGGCGAGGATACATAAATACATACATGCACGCACGCACGCACCCTTAGCCCTTATGATCGTGAAATTGTGTTTTTTAGGAACATTGAATAATTGAGCTGGAAGTACAGAGATATACAGAGATCATATACCGAGGTATCTGGAATATACAACTAACTTTTAACAAGAAAGGGAAAATACATTCAAAAAGAGCATTTCATCAAAACAATTATTTTTTTTCAAGTGGACATATAGTTATTGATTATGTTATTATTTAAACAGAGTTAATAACATGTACATAGCATATTGTCGACACAAGAAATTGACTGGATTAAAGAAAATAACAACTAAAATATCTGGCTCAGAATCAGTTAAGCTAGTCACATGTTGCCTGAAAAATGAACAATAAACCACACACAATAAACAACACAATTTACATCCAATAAGCAACTGAGGTGTAATCAAATGCTAATTGATTGCGAAAACATTATTAATAATGGCAGTGCACATAGCCCGCATTGTACGCTTGATTGTTTGTTGATTGGCCGATCAGCTAATTTTATTGATGATGATATTTCCTTTTTTGCTCCATGTTCGTTGATATTTAGTCTTAATTATGTTGATATGTTCACAAAAAATAACAGGATGTGTAAGAGTGATAGAGTCATATCTTGTTTGGCACTTCTTACAACCGTGGACAAGATTTTGATGCAGCTATATTGGTTATATTTGTTGCAGTTTTGATGTAAAACAGTGAAAATGCACTGAATAAAGGTATTGACTGTTGTTAGAATGTATTATGTTTTTCATTACAACAGAGTACTGTTGATAGTATGATGTAAATGAGTAGTTTGATGGAATATAGTGTCATTAACTAAACATCGCGTGATTATGCGCAGTGAGGGCCCTTTCGTCAAGTTCCGGTCCCTCCATCTTTGACATATATATAAAAGCCGGCAGAGGAAACACTGTCATCAGTGTGTGTTGACCAACAAATTCAATATGTTGCGGTGGTTATCAAACGACGACCGTCTAAAGAAAGAGCCAGAGGTGTACGCGAATGTAGTCGAGGGGCTAAAGAAAGTCTACAAGCAGAAGTTACTGCCGTTAGAAGAGCACTACAAATTTCACGATTTTCACTCCCCGCCCCTCGATGACGCTGATTTTGATGCTAAGCCTATGATTTTGCTAATCGGCCAGTATTCAACGGGTAAAACTACATTCATCAGGTACCTTCTGGAGTCCGATTTCCCTGGAATAAGAATTGGCCCTGAACCAACAACGGATAGGTTTATAGCTGTTATGTACGGTGAACAAGATGGCATGGTTCCTGGAAATGCGCTTGTGGTTGACACCAAGAAACAGTTTCGTCCGCTTTCGAAGTTTGGCAACGCCTTCCTCAACAGATTTCAGTGTTCCAGTGTAAAGAATTCAGTCCTGGATAGTATTACAATTGTAGACACACCTGGAATTTTATCTGGTGAGAAGCAAAGGGTTGACAGGGGATATGACTTCGCAGGAGTCTTGGAATGGTTCGCTGAGAGGGTGGACCGGATCATCCTGCTTTTTGATGCGCATAAACTTGACATTTCTGATGAATTTCGTAGAGCAATAGATGCAATCAAGGGCTATGATGAGAAAATTAGAATCGTATTGAACAAAGCTGATATGGTTGATCATCAGCAGTTAATGCGAGTTTACGGAGCCTTGATGTGGTCCCTTGGAAAAGTGCTCAATACACCCGAAGTAGCAAGAGTATACATTGGATCATTTTGGGATCAACCACTACATTATGATATGAACAGAAAGCTTTTTGAACTAGAAGAAACAGATCTGTTTAAAGATTTGCAGAGTTTACCCCGAAATGCAGCCCTTAGGAAACTGAATGACCTCATCAAGCGAGCTCGACTTGCCAAGGTAAGTACACAATGGAGGAAATGTTTGACATTTTTTACATGCTTGTAATAATTCTTCCTATTACCGTGCTTGGCACAGAGGCAAAGGACAGATCAGTTACCTGTCTGTGTATGTCAACATAGGAAAATCGATGATTAGTCACTCCTTGATGTCAGTGTAATATTGAAGACACACTGTATTTAAAAGACATTATTGGCATTGAACTAGAACCCTAATTAAACCTAATGTGAATAGCATTTGGGGGCGATGATTTGCGTATAGATGCCCAATAATTTGATATATGCAACATCTGACTAATTACTTAATGATAATATAAATGATTTTCTGTGATATAATTTAGAGGTACCATTATACTGACCAGTGGCTTAAATAATTTGATCTTTTACAGTTGTGACGAACTTTTTGATCTCATTCTGTCATCGAAATTTGTATGTTTATAACATAATTACTTTATTAATTATACAATAATTGAATCAATGTCACATAGCAAAATGTGTAATATGTTATGCAATCAGCATCATCTACAAGGTTATATTATGGCAAGTGTCAACTTTAATTTGAAAAAGACTTTCCTGGAGGCCTAGAGGGTTTGTTGTTTTCTTTAGATGAGTATCTGAATGTCATTAAGATTAATGATAAATCCTGTCATAGCATGAGCGAGACACTATTGTCATGATGTCGTATGTCTACCGATCAGTGACAGGTACATGTGATATTTAAAACGTAATTCATACCAACTGATGTAAGTCCCTCATTAATGATGAGTCAGCATGTCCGTGTTATGTCATTGAGTGTGGGTGGTGGTGATGTTTTATTGATCGGGGGTAGTGATGTTATAATGCTGTTATTGTTCATACCGGAGTTTTATCAGGGCACCTGCAGGCATGTTTGTGGGGCCGATGATGAGGTCATTCATTCTTGTAGGCTGTCGATATATAGTCAATTGTCATTTTCACATCAATCACAATGCTAAGTGTGACAGTGCTAAATTGCAGGCCAAGCTAACTTATATTTCGGATTGACTAACTGTAGAAAATCAAGATTACAAGTGTAACAAATCTGAAGGTGTTAGTTAAACACTGTTGTGTTGAACTTTGATGTGTCAAACTTACTGTTGTCTCGAGGGGCACGGGTGGCCCAGTCTCCTAAGACGCCGCGATTCGCTGTGCAGAGATGCGTCCCTTGGGCAAGCCAGAAACCTATGATTGTGGGTTCGAATCCCGGTTCGCCCCGACAGTGTTTGACTGTATAAGTGAACTAACAAAATCACAGTAGACACTGAAGTTTAGCATGAAAATTATTGATTAAATAATGCTTTTCTTTTTTTTCTGTAAAAATATAAATTGTTTTCTCTCAGAGACTCTCTGCTTTACTGTCTCTGACCTTTCAGTTGTTGAATATGCCTAGTGATTACATTGTAAACAGAGAAAGTGACATGCCAGATATATATTTCATGGTGGCTGATGTTCATAGCGATACACAGCTGTATGTAGGTCAGAGCTGCCGGCTGCAGCCTGCCAGTCCACATGTTGTATGTATAATGTATGTTTGTGTCTTCAGACTCAAACTCGGCCCTCCATGCCCCAGTTCCTCCCTGTAATGCCCTTGTAGTCCAGACACGTACATATTACATACATCAGAGCAAATGCTTCAGGTATCCATTATAACTTTCTTGTTTAGGTTCAGGAAAACACAATCTTCTGGCCATCACTGGCATCAGGGCTGGCTAGTGTTGAAAATAACTTGGCCTCATACATTCATTCTGTGATAATAGGGCTTGACTGAGCATTTTAGTGTCATGACGTGAGTGAATATTATTTTATGCATCTTTAAGCAATATTCCAGCAATTTCATGCGACGATACAATGCGCAATACATTGTTTTCTGTATCAATAAAATATGATGCACTTTGTAAAAATTTTTGTTAAAATTTTATGACCCCCCAGCAAATTGTCAGGGAAATATCGCAAAATGTGTTGTAATTCATGTTTCAAATTCACTTCTAAAAATAGCTGCTACAAACATGTCCACTGCCAGCTTTTCCTTTTGAAGCTGCTCTGAAATATTCTTGAAATATATATCTGAAGTTTCCATGTGATTTGACGTAAATATGTGTATCGCGATACATATTGTATCGTGACCTATGTATCGTTTCACCCCTAATCACAGCTGGGGACACTGAAACAGTCTATTCAGTCTATACTAGACTCAGGTTTCCCACTTGTGGCTGAAGTAGCCTACAGTGTGACAACCCAATGGTTTAACCCAAGGCTACGCCTTTTTCTGTGAAGCTCACTTTCCTGGAACACTCCCAAGCCAACAGGTCCACACAAACATTGTTCTTCCTGATTGCTGTTTGTTATCTGTGAAAGGCCAGATATGAAAATTGATTAGGATAGCAACAAGCTGTGTACCTACAACATGTAGCAATTAATTGTCCCAAAATATCCATTGCACCTCTTTCAGTAATTAATAGCTGTCCCTCTGCCATTTCTGTAGTCAGGGGTCGTAGGACCAGCAGTTACATGGCTTAATCTACACCTGTTATGCACTCTTATGATTTGATATTATTCCACAATATTAGTGTAAATGTTACGAAGCTGTATTTAAAAGTAAACTTCAGGTGTATCCGATTGCCATGCAGCTCAGGTCATGGAACCCTACACAAGAACGAATGACCACCAATGAAGTAATGTTTTGTGCTTGGTCACCTGAACATTTCATGCAATAATGAGCTATGATTCGAACCCAGTGCGAAATCTTGAATAAGAACCGAGATGGCGGGTGTCATGATCACTCCTTGTCTCTATGTATATGGAGGGGTGTGATTTTTTTCTCTATACGAATATATTATGTTATACACGCTATCATCGAGTTCCTGTGCTTGTTACGTTATGAATGATATGATGTGTGACATGTGGTTATAATTGGGTGCATGGGATTTTAAGAGCTTGTTTACTCCCCTCGACCTTCGATCTGATGGTTTAAGAGCCCATTCAGCTTGGAAAATCTTGTCCTCTCCACTAATGACACATGCATCTCTTGTGAACATGATCGAGTAGATTCCTATGAAGTGCAAGTCGTAAATCAGCAACTTTCAATTTTCTCTCATGCCTTAGTTCAAGTTTGAACCTTTTGTAATTCATAATTGAATCTTTGTATCGATGGCAGTGATCAAACTGGACGTGAGACCATATTTCATGTTATGCAACAGTTTCCCCTAACATGATAAGACGGAAGGGAAACTGCGTCCTTCCCGCCTTCAGCCTGTAAGTTGTATTGATAGTTTGACGTAATCTCATCATCATTATGTATGATGGTTTACCCGTCTGTTGTATAAGTCTATCGATATTATTATACTATATTAATATCCAAATTAGTGACTCTCCAGGCCATCACTGTGACCTCACCCAACTCTGTTAACATGGATAAAGGATTAGGGAAGGCCTGGAGTTCCACTTAATGTCAACTATGCGGGAAATTTGTATTGCCTCGCCCAATTGTTTAGTTTTCTGTTACTGTGGTTACAGGGTTGATGTCACCGTTATTTACAAAAGAAAAGCCATATTATTATTAAATATTCTTAGTAAGTTTTAATTTGAAGAAGGGAACAAATTTGTTCCCCTCTGCAACTTAAAACTTACTAAGAATATTCAATCATTGCTGGGTCATGTTTCAACTTGACCTAGCAATAACATATTTTTGCTTAGAATCGGAGTAAGCAGGGCTCAAAATTACAAGTGCTGACATGCCCGCGGCATACATAAAATAGGAAATGGCATGCTTGATTTTCATGTACTCACAGTGCCTCATGGGCATGGTCATTTTCATTAAAAGTACTTACTTCAAGATTTATATCATGTCATGACGAAATTAAACTGAATTGAAAGAGGGCCTTTTTTTCCTTTAGTTGCATGTCGCACAATCATTGAATGACTTCTGTTGTAAAATCAATCAGCATTATTCGGTGATTTCCGTTGACTGTATCTTACACACGTTTGACAATATGTTCAAGACTGCACGAAATACATTTGAATGTAATCACGTTTCTCCGTATTTTCACGGAATATCATGAACATTACGAAAGTCTTGTGGTTCAATCAGAAGTGGTCATTTGTGTTGACTGTTCAGGGTTAGAAACTTACAGATTTTGTCCACTAGTCCTTATAATGATAACATGTAGCAAAACCTTTAAAATGGGCCAATTTCTACTAGTCCTTAGGATACCTTTACTATTGGGCAGTTTGGTAAGGACTACAGGACTAGTGCCAATTTCTAATGCTGCTGTTGTGAAAAACCTAGCAGACAATCACTATTTTTTATAATAATTAGGTAATTTAGACAAGCCACACCTAAATTGAAAATGGCACATCTGTAAAACAGGTCCAGTGCCCTTAGGCACACCTGATTTATTGCTAATTTCGAGTCCTGAGGAGTAAGTTAGTGTATCTGATTTAGTTGTGCTTAGCAACGATCACTGTACAATATTGACGAACTGATTTCTATGTGCATGATAATAAATCTGTGACTTAGCGACTTAGCAATAAGTTTAAATACATGTTCAAGACAAGTGGTTTTAATGGGTGTGCAATATAACCGGTAGACTGGTTTCTTGCAATATGGCTGTCTTCTATACACGTATTGCTATACAACTCTTGCGTATCAAATCAATATTTTCCGATACAATCATTGAAGAATTAATATATTATCATATAAATTATATCTCTCTCTTGAGGCATATGGATGGACTGGTATAAACTGCACACGCTTCAAGCTGTTCACATTAACATTCCATATTGATGACATAATAGGTAGTCTTGTTTAACCATACCACCCATCTCGCAGTCTGAAGTCTGGATTATTGAATGAAGAAACGTACCATTTGAACAGTACAAATACTTAGAATTTGGTCCCCACATGATAGGTATTGCAATATGTATCGGTATTGCAATAGAGCTCTCTGTATTGTGATATATTGCAATATGATTTATGTGCCAATA